TACCCAAAAGTTACTGGGGATATGCAGTTTTTGTAACTGCTTATCTTATCAACAGAATGCATTTGAGAGCTCTTGATTTTCGAAGTCTATTAGAAGTTTTACAAGGAAAAAATTCATTTGTTGTTCCTCCAAAAGTGTTTAAATGTGTTTGTTTTGTCCAGCAAAAAATGTGGGCAAGTTGGAATCTGGAGCACTTAAATGTGTATTTATTAGATATTCCCTTAGTAATAAAGGTTACAAATGTTATCATCCTCCATGTAGAAGATATTTTGTGACTATGGATGTTACTTTCAGGAAATTGGGGGCTTATTTCAATCCAAACCTAACGCCTCGTCAGGGGGAGAGTGAGAAAGAAGAGGTAATTCCCAGTATGCCCACTTTGTTAACTCTTGACATTTATATTTAGGAAAAAAATTGTAGTTCGAAAGGTCTCATTTAAGGAGATAATATGGAGAGCTTGGATAAAACAGACTTGAAGAGGTATTCGAGGAAGAATAAGATAGAGAAAACTATCGTGCAGTCCGATTTAGGCAAAAAATCTTCCTCAGTTCCTAAAAATACTGGTGAGTTACCTCCATTTTCTGAGTTTGGTGAGGATGTGGATAAACCTATTGCTCTTAGAAAATGAGTCAAGTCTTGCATTAAACATCCTATGTTTAATTTTGTTTCTTATAAATCTTTATCTCCCTTCTGTAGAGCCTTTATCTTGTCTCTTTTTTTTGTGTCTATTCCACAGGATTTGAGAGAAATGATAAGAGATTCTAAATGGAAGGAAGTTATGATTAAAGAAATAAGAGCATTGGCAAAAAATGAAACATGAGAACTTGTTTCACCTCCACAGGAAAAGAAGATGGTTGGTTGCAAATGGGTGTTCACTGTAAAACACAAAACAAATGGGTCAATTGAAAGGTACAAAGTTAGATTGGTGGCTAAAGAGTTTACTCAAACCTATGGAGTTGACTATCAAGATGTCTTTGCACATGTCGCGAAGATGAATACAATTAGAGTATTATTGTCTTGTGCAGCTAACCTTGATTGGGACTTACAACAATTTGATGTGAAAAATGTTTTCCTTTATGGAGAATTAGAAGAAGGGGTATACATGAAAATTTCGTTTGAATTTGATGATGAAAGAAAGTAAGAGAAGGTTTGCAAATTAAAAAAAGTCTTATATGAATTGAAGCAGTCTCCAAGAGCATGATTTAGAAAAATTATGATCTCTTTTGGATATCAATAAAGTAATGTTAATCATACTCTGTTCATCAAGCATTATGAGGCTACAGTCATTCTTCTCATTGTCTATATAAATGATATTTTGGTGACTGGAGATGACACAAAGGAGATGACTGATTGAAGAACTTCTTGTTCAAAAGTTTAAATAAAAGATTTAGAAAAATTGTAATATTTATTGAAAATTGAAGTTACCAAATCTAATAGAGTACTCTTCATTTCTCAAAGGAAGTACATCCTATACTTATTAGAAGAGCTGGTATGATGGGTTGCAAGCTGACAAAATCTCCCATCGAAAGCAATCACAAACTACAAGCAGGTAGTGGTGCATCAGTTGACTTGGGGAGATATCTGAGATTGGTTGGAAAACTCATTTATCTTTCACATTTCAGACCTCATAAGCATATTTCGTGAGTCTGGTGAGTCAATACATGTATTATCCTCGTGAGCCTCATTTACATGTTTTTTGCATATTACGATATCTAAAATCTGCACTAGGAAAATATTTGTTCTTCTCTAAAAATGGTCACGTTAAAATAGAAACATTTACAAATGCCAATTGGGTTGGATCTCCAGATGATAGAAGGTCAACTACCGGCTACTGCACACTCGTAGGAGGTAACTTGATTACGTGGAAAAGTAAAAAATAGAGTGTGGTTGTGTGCTCCAGTATTAAAGCAGAATATAGAGCAATGACTCATAAGATATGTAAATTAGTTAATGAAAAAATTAAAATTGTTTAAAGAAAGAAGTTTATCATTATTCTGTGATAATAAGACAACCATTAATATTACTCATAATCCAGTTCAACATGATCAGATAAAACACATTGAGATTGACCGACATTTCATAAAAAAAAAGTGGTTGATGACTTCTTATACTTATATCATGTGCCTTCATGTGAGTAGGTGGCAGATGTTTTCACTAAAGGACTTTGCAACAAATCTCATCATAACTTGGTATTGGTATATAAGTTAGACATGTGTGATATATTTGTACTAACTTGAGGGGGAGTGTTGACTAGAATATTATGTTGCGCAATTAGTCAAAAATATTTTTTTCTGTATTATGTAGTCAATTAGAATATTTATCATTATGTTATTTTCCTTATTTGTATACAGAAATTTTGTATATATATCTCAATTGCAATAACATGAAGCGTATCAAAAATAAAGTAAATATTCATTCTTCAAAATCAACAGTTAATAGATTTTTATAAATAGTTTGTAACTTTACTTATTAGAGCATTTAGTTATTCAATAATGCTTTTGAGAGTTCTTTATTTTTTTGGTTGTATGATAGAATCAAACTTTTCAATGTGATGCTGAAAACGTCTTAGATGTGAGATGTGATGTCTAAGAAACGCTAGATGTGATGTTTAAGTTGTTATCTCCAAATTCTTAATTAGACAAATCAAACCATATTTGTTCTACATCAATTTGGTATTAGAGGTAAAAGAATCTTATATCCAGATTCTCAAAACCCTACACCCAAACAGTCTCAACCCCATTTGAAGAAGAAAACACAAAAAAAAAATCACATAAACCCTAAGATGGTTGCCAGTTCCGCTCACTAGCCACCACTTGGAGGTGGTCTACACTGCCACTACCACCAGGTTTAGAAGGTCCCGATTGGCGAACCCATGAAGCCTTGCCACAAAACCCCACCAAGGAAAGTGCCACTTGCCAGCGTAAGTCCTCTTGTCGCTGCATGTACTGATCTTGTATTTCTACACAATCATGTCTCACAATAACGTCCAATCTATAGCTGCCACCTCCATTTAAGACCATTGACCAAAGATCAATTTCATTTGATGACTGGGAAGACGGTGCGTGAAGCCCTTGCACGAAGAGGAGACCCTGTGCAATATGTTATGTTTTGGCTTCGTTCATAAGTTCCTTGTTCGGCCAAAATTTTTCTAAGTTTCAGTAGTGGTGACTAACGTTGAATTAAATGTTAAGTTTGAGATGCATGTGACAATCAATAATACATGATTGGAAACAATGCAAAATACTAAGACACTTATGCACAATACAAGTACATCCACCAATTCAAAATATACAAGTTTGAAAAAGCTGCTGATGGAAGACACATTGAAGATAATGTCAAAGATATTACCAAGAGGGTAAAAGTTGAAGCTCCTAATTTTAATGGAAAAAAGTACTTCGATTTCTTTCTTGATTGACTTAATTTAAGGAAAAAGTACTTCAACTAATATAACATGTCATATGCACAAAGAGTTCAATTTGCCAAGATGAAGTTGGTTGGATTTGCAAAAATATGGTGGTACACTATTAATGAAAACATAACAAGGAGACAACCAACAATTGAAAGATGGGGTGAGATGAAAATTATTCTTCATGAAAGTATCTACCTCTTAACTACTTTGACAAACTTCGTAATGAAGCTTACACTTTAGGCTAGGGAAATATTTCAATAACTGAGTACATACAGAAGTTTGAAGAATTAAAGATTCAAAGTCAATTGGTCGAAGATGATAGTCAAACAATATCTCGGTTTAGGACAGGACTAAGAGTTGATTAAAGAGAGTTAGTTTGACAACCTCCTCCAACTAGATTACAAATTTAATCCTAAACAATTGTGCATTTCTACTATTTTAGGTATTGGTGAGAACAACCAAAAACAAGGTTGTTAAGTTTTCATGGAGAAGCCCAAAGTTCAAGATTTTACATTATTTACCACTACAAGGCTCGTGGATGAATTTTTTCCAATCAGGAAAGAATGATGCAAAAGGGGCTAGCATTAAATCTCTTAAACAAATTAGAAATTGTAATTATATTAAATATAAAACAACTATATTATTTAGAAGTCTATTATTATATTATGAGGAGTATTATTATAGTTTTAATAATTTAAGATTCTATTCTTATTAGTATTTCTAATTTATTAGTATCATTTTTATTAGGATTTATATTTATAATTTTACTAGTTTACTATTTTTTATTTTAATTCTAGTTAGGAAATGATTCTTACAGATTATTATAAATAGCTTGTAATTTCATTTATTGGAATATTCAGTTATTTGATAATATTTTTGAGAATTTTTCGTTTTGATTGTTGTGTAATGCAATCAAACTTTTAAGTTGTGATGTTTAAGACTTAGATGTAATTTTTAAGAAGTCTTAGGTGTAATGTTTAGATTCTTATCTCCAAATCGTTAATGAGAGAAATCAACCCAAATAAAAACAAAAAAAGAATGGAATCCGGATCCTCTTCACTCTCTCCATTCATTTACTCAAATAGGATAGAAAACGGAGCTGCTGTTCGTTTCGTATTCGTAAACAGGTAAAAAAGCTGCACCACTGACCTTCCTCCCGGGATCCCTAGGCTCGTGAGAAAGTATACCTATTGGTAACTTTAGCTACTCTTTATTTTGCGTTTTTCCTTTGTCCCTTAGTTTTCTATGTTCTTATGCTGCGACTGGTGGATTCCTTATCCCCCTCTTTTTAATGCTTTCTTCGCCCTTCGTAGTAATGTCTTATTTTATCGAAAAAGACTATCTAAAAATTATATCCGGGAAAGTTTACTCCTGTTAAAGGATCTAGTTGCCTGAAGTGGTGATTTGTGAGTCAAATATATCAGAGAACTATGCTAAAGAAAACTTTTCGTTAACAACTTCTGGGAACATGTAAGTGAATGAAGGCTTTATTTGAACAAACATGAAAATTTGAGTTTCTAATGCTTTTTATGTCAAGTAGTGTCTTATGGTTTTGCATCTTTCCTGTGCTTTTGTTTTCACTTCTTTTCAGGCTCTCCCAAGATGGGTTGTGTACCATGAATTGGTCCTCACAACCAAGGAATATATGAGACAGGTGAAATTTTAAATTTGTTCTTTGGTTAACTTTCCATTGTTGAAGGCTTTCATTAGGCAATGTTTTTATGGTAGCTAAATCTTGGAGCATTTGGTTGTAGGTGACTGAACTAAAGCCAGAGTGGCTGGTGGAAATAGCTCCTCACTTCTACCAATTGAAGGATGTTGAAGACTGTATGATACATCTCTTGTCTGATTATTTGCTCTTAATTGTGATTTGTAATTAACCTTTTTGTGGAATTTGATAAAGTTTTTTATAAGAATTGGATTGATTCGTCTATTCGAAAAAAGGACTGGATAATTTGCTAGGAGACAGAGGTTAATAGAGTGTTTCTTTGTTTCCATAGGAGAATCCTAGATGGCAAGGGACAAGGTCCGGACCAATAAGGGCTTGGACCAATAATGGCTTAGATTCTATACCCTTAGCATGTTGGCGTTGGATGTTTTTAGACAATCTCAGATAGTTTAGGTTTGACATCTACCTATGGATCACAACCTACCTCTGCACAACATGGTTTTCAATGTGATGGTGGGAGTGCTCTATAAAGTACTGTTTGTTCTAGTCGCTAAGCTGATTAATGAAACAGCTTGTGTTTTCACCTAAAAGCACATGTCATTTTTCAATAAATTAATGAAACATAAAGTTAATATATGTAATCATTGAAAATATTATCTATACCTTATGGAACAAGTCATTTTCCAAAAGCATCCAAATCTATTTTTTCATTTCATCTTTATAAGAAGTCAAAGATAATTTTTGCTTTTACCTAAAAGTACTTGTGTTTTCAGTGTTTGATTGACAGCAGAAAGGAAAGAATAAACTCAGCCAAACATGTACTAGATTATCTGCCTGTTAGTTTTTATGGAATGGAAATGACCTCGCAATATGTGGGGTTCAAAAGAATTGCATGAATGCTTGATATCGGTGTGCATAGCAAATAATGGACTGATATATTTTGACTCTGGATTTTTATCTGTTGCAGCTGCGTCAAAGAAATTGCCAAAGGGAGAAGGGCGGGCAGCACTATAACAGCAAAGTGGAGTAAATCCTTTTGTAGAGACGTTTGAGACGTGTTCAACTAGGGGCTTACTGTGCTTTTAAAAAAAAAAAAAACTAGGGGCTTACTGTAGCTTACTCAAGGTTAGAGGCTTAAAGAAGGTTAGAGCCGTCTTCTGAAAAAAACAAGGTTAGAGCTGTCAATAAAATTTTGTAATTTTAGGGTACTACACATTTAAATCATTTATAAACCTGTAGTAGTTCGTTGTCTCGTGGATGAAATTTGGGCAAATTCATGTTCGATTACTCGAATTATTTCATGTTGTATATACGTATATATTTCTACCAAAGGATAGATTTCTTTCTACTGTCTTCTTTGACCCATTTCTTTCTAGTGTTTTCTTAAAATTTTGGGTTATGAGTTTTGCTAGCCTAGAAGTTTTGACATTTTACTACTGGCAGAGTTAACTGTGCCATCTTCATCCAACATAAGAGGTATATGAAGTACAACTAGTTTATATGTGGCAAGAGTCACCAAATGAAGTTTAAGAAGTCAATTGTAATTTCAAGATATTACTAATTGGGGTAAAAATTTGAAGAATTTAAAATGCATCTGCAAAGAGTTTAAGAAAAATCTGGTGTAATTAATTATGCCCAAAAATGATGTAATTCAAGTGTAATATTTTTAAAACAAATTCTCAATATCCTGAAAAACAATCCAATTTAAAAGCTCCATGGGCTGGCAGAAGAATTTCCAAACATTGAAGAGGAAGTAGAATGAGAGAAAATGGAAAAGAACAAAATGTTAAAGCATTGTTCGTTTACTCTTACAAGAGGAAATTAAAGTAGGTAGCTATTATAACATATATTTCAGCAATCTAAACTGTATTTTGGTGACAACAACAGAAAGAGTAACTTATTATATAGAAACAAGAAAATGTATGGAGAAAAACGCATTCATCTCTCCATGTTCTTTTGAGTTCCAGCTTAAACCAACTGCACCAGCTTTAAGCTACTGCAGGCATGTCTTTAAGCCAAGGATCCAATGGCTTCCCAATTGAGTACACAATAAATCCAATCTCCCTCAGCTTGGCAACATCTATGATGTTCCGTCCGTCAAAAATAAATGCAGGCTTCTGCATATTATTGAAAATCCTCTGGTAATTGAGCGTCTTAAATTCATCCCATTCAGTCAAAATGCAGACTCCATGAGCATCCTTTGTTGCCTCATAAGCATCCCAACTCACCTTCACTTGCTTCGTGGTATTTGGGCTTAGTGGCTGCTGAAGGTGAATAGGATGATCCCAGTCAAATTTTTCCATTGACAGATCCCTCTGAATCTGCTCCAAATTGACTTGTGGGTCATAGATACTCAACTGTGCCTTATCCTCTAACAGCCTTTTGCAGACTTCGATAGCTGGAGTTTCCCTCGTGTCACCAGTATCCTTCTTAAAGGCAAATCCCAGAATAGCAATCTTCTTGGCTGAGACTGTATTGAACATGGAAGAGACTACCCGGTTCACGAATCGCATCTTCTGGTAATCATTGATCTTGATGACTTGTTTCCAGTAGTTAGCAACTTCGGGCAGGCCATTACATTCACAAATATAGATCAAATTAAGTATGTCCTTCTGGAAACAAGACCCACCAAAACCAACACTGGCATTCAGGAACCTGTGTCCAATTCTGGTGTCCTTGCCAATGGCATAAGAGACCTGTGATACATCTGCTCCTGTTGCTTCACACAGAGCTGACATTGCATTGACAGAAGAAATCCTCTGTGCCAAGAAAGCATTGGCTGCAAGCTTCGAAAGCTCGGCTGACCAGAGATTAGTGCACAGGATTCTGTCTGCTGGTACCCAATGAGCATAAACATCTTTCAACGCATGAATTGCTTTTTGCCCTTGAGATGTTTCTCTCCCACCTATCAGAACCCTATCTGGATTCAAAAGGTCCTGAATTGCAGTTCCCTCAGCAAGAAATTCTGGATTTGATAGAATCTGATAGTCTATTCCCTTGCTGTTGTGGGTCAGGATCCTTTCAATTGCCTCAGCAGTTTTCACGGGAACTGTTGATTTCTCAACAACAATCTTGTTGGATTTTGAGACATCAGCAATCATCCTGGCAGCACTTTCCCAGTAGGTCAAGTCTGCGGCTTTTCCAGCCCCGAGGCCTCGGGTTTTTGTCGGAGTGTTGACAGAAACAAAGATTATATCTGCCTCTGCAACATGTTTCTCCACATTAGTGCTGAAGAACAGGTTCTTGCCTCTGCATCGCTTGACTACATCATCAAGACCTGGCTCATAAATGGGGAGCTGGTCACTGTTCCAGGCTGAGATTCGAGCAGTAGATATGTCGACAACAGCTACTTCAATTGACGGACACTTGAGGGCAATTACTGCCATTGTTGGACCTCCAACATAACCAGCTCCAATGCAGCAGATCTTCACCATCTTCTTCAGTTAATCTTACAACCTCAGCTGAAATTAGAAAATAAGAATATGCAAGTTAACCCTTATGATTCTTGTTCATCAAGAATTGAAAAGAAGAAAACTTGTGAATTTCTGCTAATTATATCAATATTTTATGATGTTTGATCACCGTTACTTTACCATAATTGAATTATCCACAACACGGCAAGATTTCACTTGGGAAAAGACAAAAAAAAAAAAAAGAGGAAAATGTAAAGCCGGCTCTTTGTTATACATTCTTCTATGATATTGACAGTAATGAACAATGAATTCAAGAACTGAAATCTTGAATTTATTTAATAACTTGAAAAAACATTATAATCTCGCATGAGTTAAAAAATGGAAGAGCAAGATGATTCACATATAAACATGCATACATCAATACACAAACATGTATCTCCATAACCATGAACAAGAATCATTTATCCTAACACAAACAACTTAGTGTATTATACCTCTCCAAATTTAACTTGTTGAAAACTACAAACCAAGAACAGAGAGAAAAAGAAACAATAAAGAGAGAAGATGTAAATATGAAACTGTGATGAAGGTAAGAGGTGCTTAAATACTCGGAAACCCATGTGAGATCTGCCTGTAACTTACATTTTCCAATTTTATTTCTGTATGTACTTTCTCAAAACCAAGCAAAGTCAGATTCAAAAGCTGAACTGGAACATTCAACTGATTTCCAAACAGCTTACTTTCAGTAACAAACAAGGGAAACTCATGTACACATATTTATTTTTGTTTAAGTTATTGTTTTGTTTTTAAATATAATATTAATTGTATAATAAAAAAAAAAGCAGTAACTGAAAGAAAAAAAAAAAAAAAGATTAAACTTAATGATGGGAGTGAAATGAGTTGTGGAAGGAAACAAAAAGCTGTTGATTGATGTTATGAAAAGTGTTGGTTGATGAATATACATACAAATGGCTGATTCTACCGGATTTCAGTTCATAATATTTTTTAGAATAAAACAATTTTTACTGTTTTCCTTTTTTTTTTTTTAAATTTTGTTTCCGGTTGTTTTCCACAAAATTAGTATTTTAATTTTTTGAGAATATATAAGTCAAATAAATACATTAATTCAGCTCTTGTACCAAAGACAACAAGCAAGTAAATTATTTAAAAACTCTCACCATGATATGTATGCGTAAATATATATATATATATGTGTGTGTGTGTGTGTGTGTGTGTGTGTGTGTGTGTGTATATATTGAAATGTAGTAATAAAAAGAAGCTTGTAAAGAGTCCAGAAATATATATATTTATTGAAACGTAGTAATAAAAGAAAGCTTATAAAGAGTCCAGAAACAACGTGCTTGGTGTTTGGCGGGTTTGAGTGATATCAAAGGCAGGAAAAATATGGAAGATATGTATATATATATATATATATATATATATAATAACTGTTAGAGTATTTACAAATAAAAAAGAAATCATTATATAAAGAAATTGACTGTTCATTGATAATATCTTCATTGTTAAGGAACATCTTTAACATGTTATTATTACCAGAGAAAATGCCACAAATCACCACCAAAAAAGTTTGCTAGCTAGCTGGGACAAGCTTCAAGTAAACTGCAAATGGATTATTTTATTCAAGAGATTTATATATATACATATATATATATGTATATGTTTTTGGTTTTACATCATATATTCTCTGTATGTTATGTTGGATGGTTTGTAAAAGTTAGATTTATAGTGTCTTTTCTTTGTACATTTTTATAAGAAAATATTTATTATTAAATTCTATCCTCACGAACAATTTTGTTGATATATACACATATTATTCATGTATATGATTATATTACACGCACATTCTAAATTATTTGTTATATTATAATTAGGATTAAAAAGTTTTTTAAAAAATGCCTGACTAAATTTTTTCTTAAAGCCAAAAAAAAAAAAAAAAAGTGGGTGAAAGTAAAACAACAGGATAAGAAATAAGTCAAAAGAATTTAAATATTAAAAAAAAAAAAAAAGGGCTATATTCTTGTGTATACTTTATAAAAAGAGAATTATTGAATCCTAAAATTGGACCTCTTCCTATGAATTAATAAAGGACGGACCTCGTCTACCAGTAGTGATGAGACGAGATGGTGGAATTGAAATCTATTTATGAAGTCAAGACTATTTACATTCATTGTGGGCGTGTGCCTAATTTCATAACCACAAAAGTTAGGTTCAACTTTGAATCTACCTAAAATACACTTCACTTCACAATAATAGTCTCTATACACATTCAAATTAATTTCTAATGTTCTTTGCACTTGAGTATACATATACACGTGTGTGTGTTCAACATTGTATTCCAGATGAAAAGGTATGTAAATTTTGAAGCAAAAACGGTATAAACAAATTATAATATAGTATAGTAATTAAGATAGTTAATCAAAAAAATCTCCGATTTAAAAGTTTATATAAGTTAAAATTTTATTAAAAATATTATAATTTTAACATTTTGTAAATATATTATGAATTAATTATGATTCACTCAATTAACGTACAATATAACTTTTAATATATTAGTAGAATTATAATAACTAATTACGTTACTATTATTATTCCGACAAACAAAATATATTTTGCTAAATGAATTTTTTGATAATTTACGCGCAGATTAACCTATGTAGTTTTGTACGTGACAACTTTAGTTTTTTTTTTTTTTTTTAGTTTTTATCATTTTATATAAATTTGCCTTTTTCTTTTTACTTTTTTTTTTTCTTTTTTTTTTTTCTCATGTAGGAGTTAGAATTAATTCACGTTTATCAGACTTCTTTCCATGTGGGGTGGAAAGAAACATCTGCATTCAGCTACAAAGTTTATTTTGCACTGCTTTAATGATTTCATTATTGCCTATTATAACAAAGCCATCACTAAGCATTGGTCATTAAGGCAGGCGTATTCTCAAAATACTTGTTGTATCTACAACAGTCACAATAGGCGCCTGAACTAAAATTAGCAAAACAAATACATATTAATAACTTAAAAATTAAAAACGTTATGTACGACAAGAAAAACTTATTAAAATTATAAGTTAATATCATAAAATTTTGAAGTGTCCCAAGAGAATTATAGGAGATTAAATTGCAAATAAGATGATATTATTATATACACGCGTGTAAACAAGAAGAGTAAGCGCCCAAATCAATGAAGCAACTATATGGTCCCACGTCATTTGTTAGACTTCACATCTACTAAAAAGAAAACTTCAAGCTTATAAACTATTCTACTCAGGAAGTAAAAAAGATATTAACATACCCAATACAAGAATATTTTTATTTATTTTTAAACTCATATACGTCTTAACATACATTTTTAATATATTAATATATAAATAGATGTTTTTACGCATGCAGTAGGTGAATTGGGGCAAGGCTCCGTTTATCTACCTCACAAAAATTTATCGAGCCACGGGCAACTCCTGTTTCTAATTAATCAAGCGAGTTAGTTGACACCTCTCTTTTACTCTTGCAGAAGCTTCAAACTTAATACATATTGGTGGTGTCAAAGATTTACCGGAATCCTGTTAGACTCAGAAATTTGAGCAGTGAAATCTGCATTGCATAGGATACAATAACCAACCAACCAACCAAAAAAAAAAAAAAAAGTTATCTTGATAACTACGGGGCGGTAGTATAAAAGTTAGGGATTCGAACTCGTTTTTGTGTTTTTAGCCACTAGGGGAGAAAAACTTGACAATTTGCTTGTCAAAGAGAATGTGCCAACAGACCTACAAAATATAACTCAAAATTGAACTTCTCAAGGGGAAGAAAACATGTATCTATTCTCAAAATGAGTTGGCTAAGCTTTCCCCCTTCCAACCTTTAGGTTAGAAGAAAAGCATGAACATTAATGAATTGGTAGTAAATACAATAGATTATGCATACATGTTAATGAACTGGTAGCAAATCAAGTCATCAACTCATTGTAACTATTTTATTCATTAAAAAAATATTCACGTTAAGAGAAATAATTTGTCCTGATAATTATTTCAAAGTAAATCACTTCAAATTCCATCACAACTTATGGTTAAAATTCCATAATAGTATCACGAGAACTGATCTACATATAAATGTGCACAAGCAGAAAGGAACATCTCTTATGACAGACAAGAATCAAGGACAGGTGAATTGTTAGGAAACAAAATCACCTACTCGGGTGCATCTATTGTATTCAATTAGAGAGAAAATTTCAGATTAAGAGAAGTACTAAGACATGATAGTTGTATCATACTAAATCTCTTCAAACTACATCCGTGACTGATAGTTAATACATGTACATGAACAAAGCATAAAGGACTATCTCAATATGACACATAACAAGAAAGGCCAAGATGTCTTTGGTTTTGTCCCCAGAACATTAAATTAAGCTTTTGTTTATATATTTATTGGAAGAAGGTGGAAACATAGATCCAGAAATTCTGCCTAAAAAAATATTATTAGAATTTGAATCGTTTGTGTCATCTTTGACATAACTCAAGAATCCATGTGGACAGCATGCCAAAGACGTAGGAAACAAAGTAGTTTTCTAGTTAATCATGAATATAATTATAATCCATGACCCTCATTGTTTACAATGGAAGTAACTGTTAGTTTAAACACAAACCATCGCATACCCATAGCAGCTCGGAACCAGAAAAACCAGACAACAAAAGATGGGACAGGTTTCAGGGCATGAAGAGGAGACACACAAACCTTTTAGCCCAGCACCAAAAGTTCATGGTCAGGCACAGAATCGAATCTTGAGGCTGAGCCCTCACTATGATGGCGGCATCTTTTATGACTCATTTGAGATCCAAGCTGTGACCCATCAACTAAACAAGGCTATGCAGAGATCCACTGGCTCATCCTCCCCTGCTTTTCTCTGTTACTTGCAGTCCCCTTTGTACCGAAAATGCCTCGATCGCATTTCCAAGGACACTGCAAAGACACCCAAGAGACTCTCCTGCTCGAAGCTCACCTCTGGAAGTCGCGTGAGTGTGCCAAGAAGAAAGGCAGCAACTGCAGGGCCAGTGACAAAGGGGTTTTTGGTGAGGCTGTGGAAGAAAGCCAAACGAGGACTCCTATAGAATCAAGCATAATAAAAGCAACTTGCCTGTAGGAAAAACCTATAGATGATTAGTCACTAGCAAGCACAGAAGCAATAAACTGTAAATAAGTGAATGCATCCTCTAGTTTTTTAATACATACCTTTTCAAAATATTCATGTCTAGACAAAAGACGACCTGTTCAGTTATCTTGTCTCTTCTCCATGTCCTGATGTTTCGGAGTCATGTATTCTCTGGCACAAACTTTATTCGGTAGTCTCCGGAGTCTTCAGGTATCAAATTATTGCATAACATGAGTACATTACTGCTATACTTAATTAGAGACAGATAGCAAT